TACTAACAATATCACAAAGCCTGTTTTATGCTGCGTGCACAGGGGTGCGGTTTTCAAATACTGACTTTCACACAGACTTACATGCTTCTGCGGGATAGACTGCCCGCTATTCAGCCTGCCTCCTATGGCAGCTGACTTAGCTAATGCTGCAAATAGGACAGATCAGCTCAGGAGAGCACTTAAATATCCAGGCTACTGTTCAAGGCAGAAGGAGCTGTAATGTTTAAGTTTGGTACCTACTTTAGGTATGTTTGAAAATCCTGCCGTAGGGGCCTAAACTGTTCTGGCTTGGAAGGCAGCACCAAACTTATGTGTTCAAACTGGGCTTCTGCTACATAACTTGCAATTTATTATTTGCATGCAGTCCCCGAGATGTTATTAAGTTACTTCACCACAGGTAATACAATGGCAGTGAAATGCTCCAGGGACCAATGAGTGGGCTATGGCAAGTCCGTTCAGTCGGAGAGAGCCCTATACCAAGGCATTTATCATCCACGTGGACAGGACAGGCAGTGGGTGAAGGAAAGGAAGCATCGTTGCCTCCATTTGATAGTAGGAAACTGAGATAACACGAATTCATTGATTAGTCCAGGCAGGGGGTATGTAGCAGAGCTGGGATTTGGCCCAGAGCTCTGGGATCCCGGTCAAAAGCCTTAATTCCCGCGTCCCTCTGCAAGCACTGTGCATTTCTTTCTTTTCCGTGGTGCCAGCCGCAGTCTCTCACTGAAGTTGGAGTTGTTAGAATTAATGGCACGTCACCAAGAACTGCAAAAGGAAGAGATTAACCCACCTCCCCTTAAAGTAAAATTACAGGTGCCTTCTAGGCATAAACCAAACTTCAGCTCTTTTCTATAACATGCAGCTTCACTTCACTAATTCTTAAAATTACTTTGGAGGCTTTTACATGTGAATCCTTACTCCCAGTGCCAGCAGGTGGGAGACGAAGCATCCATAAATCCTGATCATTCTGAAGATTTTCATATATCCTCTAGACTCTGGCGCTGAATCTTTTTTTTCCCCTGAGCTAATGCTTCAGTAGCTGCACCTTGACTTTCAAATGTATTAACTGAGTTGCCAATCATCATTATTATTTTTTTCTTAGCAATCTCCTAGCTTTACTTCAGCAATCCTCTTGTCCGTTTCAAACTCCAAAATCCACATTGCAGAAAAATCACTGTTTAAAGGCTGAATTTTGGGAAAAAAACATCATTCTAAAGGAATAGCTGATCCCACAGGTTAGATTCACTCAGTTGCAGGCCAGACTTTTGCCAGCTTTCCCCGTAATGCAAATGACCTTTAGTCTGTGAAACCAGGAGGATTTCCTATAAACTAGGCACACATGCTAGTTCAGCCAACTTATTGGTTTCCCTGGGGGGATCTTCAGGGGGTCCTTGCAGCAGTTTGAGATGCTGCCTAAAAGAACAAGCAGGTAGCAATGCCTTCCTTTTCCTTGAAGAATCAACTTGCACATGACAGAGTAGGGTACTAAGTCTGGGGAGAATGACCTATAAAACACCTGGAGGAGCAGAAGGTCTTTGTGCAGGAGGCAGTGCCCCAGACCCGCAACGTGGACAAGAGAGTGGAAGACAGGTCCAGTAGACTGACAGTCCCCATTCTCGTTCCAGCTCTACCACTGAGTCACTGACATCAGTAAATCAGGTTCATAAACTAGAATAGCAATTGACAGATGAAAGAAGAGGATTTGAGTCTGGAACAGAGTGAAGCACTTTGCAACAAGTCCCACTGGAACTGTTCTGCATTGTCACAAGTAGCAAGCCCAAATCTTCCCAAACAAACGGCTATTAGTGGATTTCTAACACGCACCATGACTTGATCTCTTGCATGATTTAGTATCTTGCAAAACTTGAAGAAAATATGCAAACCATTCTTACTAACAGCTTTTTCATCATCTATCCCAAATTTCCAGAACTTATTGTGTACAAGGGCCTCAGCAAAATGTAACATTCCTCTGAAACCTGAAGTCCAGCAAGCTGGGAGGAGCATTCAGGCACTGAAGTCCTTTTGCACAGCCTCAGGACTTAAATGTGTTACACTGTGTTTTCAAATGTTGGGGCTGGAATCTACCCTCTTTTTTTCAGGGTGATGTATAGGTTTCTCTTCAGATATCCTACAGGAGAGTGTTTGTTCTAACCAGTCTAGCTGTGAGGAACTGTGACATGCTCAGCACCATACTATCTAGACGCTCTCAGAAGTGGAGTTATTTCTGAACGAAAAAGGCTTGAGTTAACAGAAGAAATTACATTGGGAGACTGTTGAAACTACACTTTACCAAGATAGAATGAGGTCTTAGGACCCATTCTAAATTGTTGAATTAATTGAGCCTTCTTGTACTAGGGGCGATTTAACTAGGTGAACTAGTGAAAAAAGACCTGACACAGGTGTTGGAACCTGGAGGAATCTCTGTCACTTCTTGCAGAATCATAGAATCATTAAGGTTGGGCTTAAAGCTTGTAGCTTTGGGGATGGCAACTTCCCAGGAGTGTTGTTCCCACTGTTGAGTAGGGCAGCCTGAAAAATAATTTCTCATGAAAATTGTTGGGATGGCAGGACAGGCAGTCCAGAACTCTGGAACTATCCAAACCAGTTCATCACACCTCGTTGCTTCAGCCACTGCAGGATTTAGACTTTTAAGCCTTTATGTGTGCATGCTGTCCTTGAATTGGAGAGGCACAATATCTTCTTTGTGTTACTCAAGCCTTGCCCTTCCCACGGTTAAGCATTCAGACAAACATTTTAAGAAAAGGGGTTAAAAATAAAGAAAGTGCCAAAGTTTTCTTACTGTGCAGAATTGTTTCTTCGTGATAAAAGATTCTTTAAGAAACATTCTTTGTAGAACAGAGGTTACTGTGAATACAAATAGCCACTCCAGTGAGATAAAGAGGTGGTTCTGGCATGACATACTCAAAAAGAAAGAAAAAAAGAAAAACAGAAGGCAGCTAACACAAATAGCAATTTTAAAAAAATGCTAAAAGAAGGAAGGAAGAATCACTTCTCTGTACATAAAAATGAAAAAAAAAGTCCTTCTCTCACTTTCTTTTCATTTACCAATGTTTTATACCCAATAACTTTTTTGACATAACTCCAAGTTCCCTCTATTGTCAATGACAGAAGAATCAAATCCACTTGCTTTAGTTGAGAGTGTAATGTTGGAAGAAGAAAGCTATAAAATTAATTTTAGAACTGGATGACTCTACGTATGCAGCAGGCTGGATCAACTCCGCTAAGATCAAGATGATGATGAATGGTATAATGGACAATGACGGACAAGTACTCAAGTGGATTCCTATCACTAAATTTTGATTTAGTATGCAACACAGTACTTACTAGATTTGCTACTGTTATCACCGAGGGGACTCAAGTCCCCACATTATAACAATACAAATAAAGTGAAGTTGTTTGGGATGGAATGCTGTAGAAATCTCAGATATTGAAATATTTGATAAAAATGTCCCTTTTCATGGAAGAAAACCAAAGACGTTTTCCTATTTGTGATGTTACAAAAAGAACGACCAGCATAGCTCTGCCCTAAGCATGCTTATGTTAAACCTAGCTGAATTGATAAGTATGACAATTCAAAACATCATTACTCCTCTTCTGGAGTGCAGGCTGTGGGTTTTTCTGGCTCACCTTCCTGTTGTTAATTCTAATAACTTCGTAAGAGTGGACACAGTCAAGGTAAAATGATTAGACATTCGTAAAAATCTCTGATTGCTAGCAGTGCTTTGTCTGCAGAGACCCACTGTCTCAGCTCCAAACACTTGCTAATGATGTCCAGAAAATTCAAACCCACACAATTAGTCAAATAAAAATTAAGGCTGCCCTTTAGAGGTTTTACTGTTTCATTTTTCTTCCAGGAAAAACATTAAATCTCCCCTCAAGAGAGATGCTATAGTAAAAATTTCTTTGCTAGAATGACACTCCTTCCTTTGGTCTTTACTTCTGGAGTCATTCAACCTCACACAGCATCTTGTCACAGGAGAAGCCGAAGAGCTCCTCTCTACGTAAGCTTGAATTCACACTTCTGTGCAGGCATACAAGGACTTGAAACCATTGAATGGATGAAATTCTTTCCTTTCTTAATATGGTGCCTCTATGCAAAGGCCTAGATTAAAATTGTGCCCATCATGAGACTCTCAGTTTCTTTCCATTTTACTCCCACCTTCTTTATCTTCCTTAAAGGTCACTGCTGGCTGGTAGCTCCCAGTCATGCGTTGGCTTCAGCCTCTGTAAATTTTCTTTCTGAAGATGAGCGTCTAGACAGGCAAACCCTTTACTCACAACTTTATTAGCCAACGTCAAGAAATCAAGCAAAGGGTCATCCAGATCATATTACCAGTCAGTAATTCAGGCAGCTTCTGAGCCACCTCTTGGAGTGTCCACCCTTGGATAGCAGAGTATTTGTAGAAGGCCGAAAAAGTTGCTTTTCTTTCCACATATTACAAGCACCCTTGTTTTTTCTTTCATGATAGCCATCTAACGAGAGTCAAATTAATGCAGTATGCAGTACCATATTGTGAAATACGTACGCTTAAAAGTTAATTCCACAAAACACACAGTTAAAATGGTATAGCGTGTTTGTTAGAGAGCTTATATGTTACTATGTATTTGTTGAAAAGAAAGGTAAGACTTAGAGAATACTGACCAAAACATAACTTCAACTCGTCTCATAATAAGACATTGTTACAACCATGGAATGAAAGACTGTTATTCAAGACTGCAGAGTGTGCGCTGAAGAAACATAATGCTTCCAGCCAAGGGCAGAACTGAGACAATTTTCATCATTATAGATCATAGCAGGTGACAGACACCTCCTAGAGACAGCTTGCATCATTCAAATAACTAATTTATGAGGGTTTAAAATAAGATACTGTCTTATATAATCAGCTATTAATATGTCACTTCTCATATGTAAGTTTTTGTTTGCTTTTAAAAAAACAAGAGTTGTATATACTTGACAATATAGAGGGATTTGGCTTTACCTGAATCATCCACTCTCAGCTTTTTACTGGGATTGTCACCACTGTCATCATCAGACATTTCCATCTCCTCTTCCCGGCGGATTCCCATGAGCTGTTCACTGTGAGCATTTCGGAGCTCCTAAAACCCAAAATGACCTTTTGTCAGTATTAACTTCCATCATGTCATTATGTATTATTTAGTATCTGTTTTTAATACCGCTCTGATTTTAATTATGCATCATTTTTCATTGTAATCATACTTATTTGTATATGAATATTTATAACAACAGTAGCACAGGGAATTCTTCCTGTGAAAGAACGGAGTTTATCAAAGGTAACACTCAGGGAAAACAAGAGAGAAAGTGAGTCTCCACGTCGAGTGATCTTTAGTTCTACCAAACATAGCAGAATGCTTTAACAGCAGGGATAATGTTTAAAATTGTGTATAAAGCAGACTGATAAAGAGATTGTCAGCCTGCTTAAGGTATAGATAATTCTTGCTTCTCTCTGCCACTTGGGGTAGGATTCATTCAGCCAAATGTAGGTGTCTCCATTAAACAAAGTCATATTAACTACACCTTAAAAGTGCCTAGTTCTCTCTGCTGATGGTAAAGGGACCCAGAGCAGCCAGTGCTGATGGAGCGCTCTATATCGTAGGTGCCTAATGCTGGGCAAAGGAATCTCACCCTCTGTCCCTACGCCCAGACTGCCTCGGATTTAAAAGACCCAGCCCAATAATGTTGTCCTGAAAATCTCTGCATCTTGATCCAAAACGAGTGCCAGCACGGACAACCCGGTTTCTGGGCGACTGCCGCAAGGGCAGGCAGGCAGGCAGGGAGCCCGTGCACATGTCACTAGGTAAACGATCAGCAGGCACGCAGGCTTTGTGGGAGTCTAGACGGTCTTTGTTCTGGGTAGAAAAGCTGGCGCGGGTGTAGCGGCTGGCTTTTTAATGGCAGCGCTGAGAAAATTGAGAGGCCTCTATTTTGTCCTAATAATCCTGTCAGGTGTAACACGGGGATGCTGCACCGTGATTAGTGTAGGCCTTTTCAGTCTGCAGACAGCTAATTTTTCTGCCGACAAAGAGCTTAATTCCCAAAGAGGTGGTTTGAAACCTTTGAAACAAGGAAGAGTCGCGTGGAAGGAGGAGGCGGCATTGAGGACTCCGACCACTGCTCCGTGCAATTAACAATAAGCTGTCAGAGAGGGACTGCGTGAAAAAAGGGAAGGCGTTTCCCTTGAGCTGTACCCTTGGTTCATCGGCAGACCTCAAATATTCTGATAAATGTATATGTGTCCATTAATCCCAGCAAAGGCAAGGAGGCTAATTAGTGGGCGTTTTACATGAGAATAATTTCAAATTAAAAAAAGTTATTAAAAAGGTAAATTGTCAACCAGTGTCTCATGCAATCAGAGGCACCTCTGGAAGAAATTAGCAAGCCATTTCTTAATTCCTTATTGGAAAAGACCACCTGCACCTTTTCCTGGGGAAGTATGCTGCATACATGAGCAGACATCCTCTTACATTTACTCCCTCTTTAGGGGATAAATGCCCTTGATGTATCAACGTCTACATTATCAGCAAAGCCAATAATCTTCCACGGAGAATGTCTATGTGTATGAGTGTTTGCTTTGGGTTTCGGTTTCTAGCAAAGCTTTCCTAAATTCAGAAAAAAACAGAAGGTGATCAGGTAATTAAACAAATTAGAAGATAATGTCATGGTTAGAAAATGTGATTTAAATCGAAGATGCCATTTGGTACATTTCCATTGTATTTCACATCTGAAAACCAGACATTTCTAAAATACATTGGTTTAGTGAGAGCCTTCACATGTTTTTGAATTGTTTTTGTTGTCCTTTTAGAAAAACAAAAGGCAATAATATTTGAAAAAATGAGTAGTGAATTAACATTTCTGGAAAGTCCAACTCTTATACAATTCAGTTCACTAAAGATTTAGAAGCCAGCAAATGAGTCACACAACACACCCCTTTTACAGAAAGTTAGTTTAAGAAGGGATGGTCTTAATATAATTGAAATAATCTACTAGCAAATCATATTTTCATACTTCTCTAAAAGAAAGACAAATATCAATCCCCCAACTTCCCAACTTTCAATTGAACAAAGGCTTTATCCACTACTTATATGAAATATTTGTGAACAAAATGCAACATACAGTTTGTACCAATAATTTATGCTAACATTTTAAGTGTCCCATTATTGTGAAGTCATTTGGTATTCACCATAATAGCACTGATAATAAAGAATTCATTTGGTATTCATGTGGATGTTACATTTAGTGCCATTGGTATTCAACTGTAATTTAGCATTAGTTAATGGGCACTTAAAATGTTATCCAAATGATTTATATCACAGCACTTTAGTGTTTCTCAAACTAAGTGTACAACACTTATTTTACAAGTGTACTACAAAATAATTAAATAAGTGCATCTTACCTTTTAAAGTTTTTATTCTGAGACAGAGAAAAATCATTTAGAAGACTGTGATAGTAACAATCAACATACTGTACTACATGAAGGTAAACCAAGTGTATGTAAGTTGCTCATATTAAAAAAAAAAGGGAAGAAGAAAGAAAGAAAACAAAGACAGCGGTACTTACTTTTTAAAATACAGGCTCATAGCGTATATACTGAATTAAAAACGAAAGCTGGATGACCAAAACACAGGATGAGGTCTAGCACTTCCTTTGCTGCCACTCGCAGCAAGGGGAGTTAGAATCCCATTTCCTCTGTTCATGCTTATGACAGTCACACATGCATGGTCCCACATTGCTAACTCTGTGTGGTAGTAAGGTTACATTTATACTGGTTTCTTTGCAAGCATAATACTTAGAATCAATACAAGTGATGAATCTACTTTTTTAAAGATAAACATAAAACAAGTGGGAAGGAGTATGTCATAATTCTGGACTTAATATGCTTAAGTCATTACTTAGGAAAGAAATTCTCTATTTTATTTTCAGGCAAAGTCATCTTATAATGACCATATGATGGCACAATGAGAAAAAAAAAATCTGTGCTACAGAATACTTCTTTTAAAAATAGATCATGATGACTCCTAAAAAGTATTTTTCAGAAATAATTCTTAATTCTATTCTTAGTTGAAAATATCGTTCCTAATTTCACTACTTCATTATTTTAGGTAAGTAAACATAATCCTCCAATGATTTCCCAAATTTTGCATGAAAAATAAAAACACATCGGTCTCTGTCTTAGTGTTATTTAATGACTATTATCATAATGACAGCAATGGGAGCAATTCATACTGTAGATGAGACTGTATAATGGCCAGTTGATTAACAGCTAAAACGGTAGCCGTAAATATTGCTGAATACACTATGGCCAGCTACAACCACACTCGTTCTGTGTCAATCCAGCTGTGAGATGATGGATAGAAAGTAATAATAAAATCACCAACCTCAGAATGCTTTCGCCAAATGTCTATGTTCTTTCGCTGGGCTTTCGAGAAATGGTCCCAAGCTTTTTGTCTGGTAGAAGCGTTGAAAACGGCGACAATCTGCTCAACTTTGGTGAACAAGGAAGTCAAACAAGACAAGCAATTTATGTTGTGATCACTATAGAGAAGCAAAGCAAAGACACTAGGAGTCTATGGATGATGTCATTACTGAAACAACATCATCAATATCCATCCAATGATGTGTCTTTCGTACTTACATTTTATCAATGTTGGAGATGTCTCCCTTCAAGTCTGTCTCCATAACTTTAGTCTACACAACTTATAACTATGTACCAAAAAACACGCATGCAGCTGCTTCCCCGTGACGTCTGCTACAACTCTCTGCACAGGCACATGCCTTTGCATGTGTGGCTATAGGTGTGTGCCTACAGAAATGACACTCGAGGCATAAAACTGACACGTGTTCCCCTGTGGCAGCTGCGTACAGATGAGCAAGCATTCATTTACAAATGAAAGCATGAAAGACAAGTGGGCTCTGCTTTGAAAGGTGACTATCTGCTAGTGGGAATTTGTCAGCAGATGGGAAGGGCTAAACCATACATAAATGCTGCATTCTGTACCTGCAGCTGCTGCTTCTCTTCTATTTAATATAAATGGGCTCACCTGTGGTAGATCATTCTGTCCTGTGTCCATGGCCTATGTAGGTTTATGTACATGAACAGTTGCATTTTTGTGCATATAAGATGAAGAAGACATGTGAAATGGGCTTCCCTCATTCAACTCTAATGAATTTGTTCTGAAGCCAGACATCAATATTTAGGTCAATGATCTAGGACAATTAAGAACCTTAAGTTTTTAGCTACTTGTTCATCCTAAATCAGAAGCCTTTCTCCCAACACTCTTTTCTTTCTCTTCACATCAGTTACAAGCCACATTGTCCTTCCACAACAGTGACCTGCCTAGAAATGATTTGACCAAGATATAAGTTGCTTTAATCCCAGCACAGTTAACTGCAAGACCACCAAGAAATCCAGATTATCTACAGATGACCCGGGCTGTGCTCCTGAGTGAGCAGCTGTGCTGACCTATGAACTCGAACTGAAAAATGCTTCAACTCTTTGACAAGGTTCTTGGCTATTTATCTCTTTAAATTCCTGGGCTGAAATGATGTCACTGTTTTGTAAAGCTGCAGCTTGGAGTACCTCCCTCCCACCTCTTTCACTGAGAAATGGTGGTAGGAGTGCTGTAATGCCCTCTGATTTGGTCTCTCATCAAGTTGATCAATGGCTGCTCTCCTTCTCCACTAAAGTCACAGATGTGGAGGATCTTATTATACATAACAACCTATCTTTCCTAAAATGGTGAGCTCACCTAGTAAATCAGTTATGTATCTTTCACCTCTAGATCTGAAAGTTAACCCCGCTCACTTGAATAGGAGCACATTTCTTCTATTCTCTTTTTTTACCACTGTCGCAGGCTGGTTTCAGATTCAGAAAGATTACAATGTTTTGAATCACATATGGAAGTTTTTCTTTGCAGTCATCAGGGCTGGTTAGTTAACTTCTAAAGCCATAGAAAATAAATGTAGTATTTTAAAATTAATACTTATATGTAGTTTATACTGAAGAAGGTGCCTCAAAACTACTGGGATGATCCGATCCATTTGTGATCCATTCAAGTTTTAATTGCAGATGTGATAATTTCAGCCTATTAGAACTTGCTTGGAGTGAAGGGTGGACGTATCAAGGAAGTTATGCTGTGTATATTTATTCAATTAATTTGAAAAGCATGAAAATGTTAATGCACTCTATTATTATGTGTATAGAAACTGAGGCTAGAATTTAATTACTATCATTGTGTTGATGACCCAGGTGCTTAGAAAATCCTGCTTAATTAACAATCTTCTTTTAGTTTGCAAGTGGAAATTCAAGTAGAAAAGATTCACAAAGATATGAGGAAGAGCTGGTTTGCCATTTTCCACTAATAGGTATTAACAAGATCATCTGAATTTTGAAAAACGTTTGAACTTTAAAGTGCTTAATTTCCATTCTGTGAACAGGTGCTAAGATTTAGCAAAAGTCATTATCTGGTCATTCTGGAAACTCTCCTCAATGGAAACACAAGCTAGGAAGATGTCAAAGAGTTTTTCTTGCATAACTGCAGTAGACAAAGTGAGCAGAAAAAGGATCTCCTTCACTTACCTAACTGTCAGGAATTAAAAAAACTAAAGGAGGTAGGATACTGAGTACTAGATGTTAAAAATCAAGGCATTTAAAGAAACTTTATGCAATAGGCAGCTAGGGATAATAAAAAAGGGAAATGTAGAGGAGAATATTAAATTAGTACATATCAAAGACCAACATCCCACTACTCTGTATTCAAAGAAAGTGTCAACGTACGTACAGCAATTTCGATACACACAGCAATCTAGGCTATGAAGTGTTACAAACGCCCACAGGTAACACCCAGCTGAAAAGGTCTCCAAGCATTACATCAGAGCTAAAGAGCAGCCAAGGCCATGGTTCGACAGTACAGGAAAGTGGCTTCACATCTCTTTGTACTGCATGAAAATCCTGCATTCATGCATTGCGGGATGGCAATACAATATGAACCCGTTCTGCCAGTTCACATTTGTTCATAGGTTAATTCATGTTGCATCAAGATTAATTTGTTCTCCCACAGACCCCCTGGAAGCCTAAAGCTGGCATAACTCCTGTGCTGTGGGTAATTGGAAGACAAGACATAACACACCCACCCCTGATCAGGATCAAATTTGTATGGGTAAGTGATCCAGCAGCACACAGTCCATAAGGATGATAGATTCATGCCTAAGGGGAAGCCAGGAGAGTTTATATCAGCTGATAAACTCTCCAGTGAACTCACTTTTCCTCCATGTCTGGGTAAGATTTGGCCAAAGAGAGGCCCCAGATTTTGGGCTGATATCTGCAGAATATGAGTGAAACTTGTTCCCAGTCTCACTGCTGACCATGGTTTTCAGACTACTTCCTGACCTCCAGAAAGAAATTTCCAAAATGAAATAACAGATCATACCTACCTCTCTAAGGCACATCGAACTCTAGGATGCACTGTACCGTCAACTCTGACTGGTAAGTAGAATTATTAAGTAACGTGAAATATTCATTGTCAAACATCTGTTGGTAAGTTCTATGCTATATCAAATTTTTGTTGACTATATGCAAAGCTGTTTCCTTACTAAATTAGGGTTTAAAAAACCCACATTGCTCTGGAAGGGTCCGTACCATGTCAATGTTTTTCCTATCAATATAACTTACAGGATGTAAATAATTACATCTTTCCTAACAACTTATTCTGCGACTGGTAATTTATGTGGTATGTTTCAGACAAAGGATTATTATCTAATTGTTTCTCTGCTGAGTTATAAATAACTAAAAAGACCCAAACAACTAAGCCTAGAGTGTTATGCAAGCGTCAATGTTTAACAGATGCAATGTAACTACAATACACTTTATTAGAAGTGCCAGCTCATAGTAAGCATATTAAATGAAAGTTTGAACCTCAGTTTCTGTTGTCATAAAACATGCTACCAGGATAGGGTATTGTTATCAAGTATAAATGTAAAAACAATACGAAAAACTAGGAACAACAACAACAACAACAAAAACCACTTAACTAATGCCTGCAGAAGTTGCATACAAGATTGGATTAAAGGGAAAACTAGAATTATCTGCAGGGCAAAAGAATATTTGACACAGGATACTTGAAAATGATACTAACAGAGAAGAACAGAAATAAATAAGAACCAAGGTATAGTCTCATCTATAGCTTAACAGGTAGAGAGAACACTTTTACCCTCCATTACATTTATCAAGCAGGCTATTTTAAACACATGACTGAGTGAAGGCTGAAATTTCTCCTTGGGTTCAGGAGACAAGAAGTAGTCAATTTTTCCTTTGCTTATTACATTATCAGCTGCCGTGCATACATGATCATTTTTAATTTTTTGTATGCAATAATAAAGAACATCAGCAACCAAATATTTTATAACACCTTACGATAAAAAAGAAACAAAATAGAAACTGAAACACAATGTATTAAAATAAAAACAAAAGTCTTCACTAGCAGATAATCAGATTTCATGTAGAATTTCACTCCAAATTCCACCATTTAGGGATACAGGATGAAAAGGGCTTTGCACTAAATTACTGTAAGTGCAAGAGTGGAATATATGGCAATTTAGCTCAGAAAAATTCTGTAAGAGCACGACAGTTGACATGCAGGGTAAAAGAAAAATTCCACCCCTAAAATTACAGTGTAAAGGAAACTGTTACAGTAAATGTATAACACGCCTTTCAAATATAGATTCACAGCACAGGGAGGATACAGAGTTGGCGTGGTTTGGGTCAGAAGCCTTGTTGCTGAATTCTGAGTAAGCTGGAGTCTGCCAATCGATTTGGCTCCAAGCCCAGCAAACCAAGGAATTACAGTAGTCAAGGCTAGATGCTGTAAGTGAATGAATTAGACTCTCCAGGTCAGTTTTGGATAGGAAAGATACTTTTTCTGGCAGCAGTCCTGAAAGGCATTTCGTGCTGTACTGAACAGATCTTAGTAAGTCCAAGGCTAAAATTGCACGTAGGCAAATGACATGTGACATCAATAAGAGAAACGGTAGACGGATTGCAGAGTAATGAAAGACATTTTTTTAATTAATCTGGGCAAAACCCTCAATCTTTTGGTTACGATACTGTTTACTTTCAGAAAAGAATTTGTCTTTCACACATTTACAGCTGAAAACCTGCAGCCCCTCCCTGTTACCCAATTCACATGCCACAGAGGGAGAAACAGATGCAATTGCCATTGACTGGCAGAGGAGGAAAACATAAAATTTTGAAACATCACCCTGGAGAAGACTGCAGATAATGCAAGGGATGGGTCCTAAAGTAAAGCATACCGCTGGTCATCAGCTGGATACATAAGCAAATGCCATTATAGATTTGTATAATGAAGACAGATTTTTGACAGCTATGCAAAATAACTCATCTGCCACAAATAAATGGCATCCTTGTTTTGTTTTGGTTTTCGTTTCTGTGGGGGTTTTGTGTTTGGTTGGGTTTTTTATTTTTTTTTT